AATAATTTCCAACATGCATTTCATACTTCCAAACATTTCAAGTAACGAAGGCAATAGAGGCAGTCCTCAAATATACTTTTCCATATGTATTTCTAAAAGTGTAAAATGCATTCCAAGACCACCCTAGCCATGCTTTCAAGTGTCTCAAGTAAAGAAAGTAAAGATAGCCCACACATGCTTTCCATAGAAATTTATAAAGGAATAAAAATGCATTTCTAGACTACTCTTCCAATGCTTTCATTTATCATGCATACCATATGTCTTAAGCATAGAAGAAGAGAAAGCAACCATGGTATGCTATATTCTGATGTTCAAGAGGATTATTTCATGCATAAATCATAGAACATACACAAATCATGCTTCTTCACGCTTTAAAAAAAAAGTTTGGAAATATTTTTATGCCATCCGAAATAGTGTAGAATAGAGGAGAGGAGAAGAATACCTCTTTAGTGCAGATTTAAAGCAAAACTCTAAAAATAAATTGAAGAAAACACCCCACAGAAATTCTTCCTGAGAGCCTCACGCCAATAGCCCCAACGGTTTCTAGCCCCAACCGTAAGGGTGTCGAACAACAAAAAGCCGCAAGGGTATCAAACAACAGGGAGGAAGAAGAACTCCTCTCGAACAACAAAGAAGAAGGAGATTGCCTTTCCAACAGTGAAGTAGAGAGAAAGAAAACCCTAAATTCCTCCTGAAAGCCTTCCTTTCTCAAAGCCCTCTCCTTTTCTTCTCTTTCAGACTCCCCCTCTCAAGAGAAATTCCTCCAACCTTAGACCAAAGTGGGTTTTTTTTAAGCAAGAGAGAAAAAAAAGCAGCCACCTACCAGCCTCCCTGTTGAGCAAATCAGGTAAAGGGAGAGGAGGAGAAGGATTTACAGCAAGAGGAAATGCAACCTAGGGCAGAGGAAGAGTCGGCCAGGTGGAATTTCACCGTTGGGAAGCTGCTCGGTCGAGCAGAGATCCAGGAGGTGAGCCGCGTGCGCGAATGGCAGCGGAATGCTGCGTGTGAGGGAAGAGGGAGACGGGTTCAGCGGCCAGGGCATTGATCGTCCGGCTCGGGTGCGGCCGATCGCGGGAGAGGAGAAACGTGCGGAAGCTAGCAGGCTGCGATCGAACCGCGACTGAGCGGCTCTCGCTCGAGGCAGAGGAATGTCGCGCATGGGTAAGGATCAAATAGGACTTAGGGTTATAAATCCTAATATTATAAATAATAAATATATAAAATATTAATATTTCTTAAAAATAAAAATTTGATTCGTACTTTTTTTTTGTTCGCGCGTCACAACACAACAAAATGTATGTTCCTTTAAGGTAATTTTGACGTTCCGGACGCGCTGGCGTGGTTCGTTTCGCCGTCGGAGGTCATTTTGACGAATTCATCGATTTGCGTGCAAATTTTCTCGTGTCGAAAATATGACAATATGGGTGTCATTGTCTACTAAAATTGGTGTCCCGAACACGTTGGCATAGTCTAATTTGTCATCGGAGGTCATCTGGAGAAATTCGCATTTTTGCCCGTCCTTTTAGGCTCAATTGAAGCCCGACCTCATGCAATTCTATGAATTTCATGCATTTGATGTGTGTATGTGACGAAAAAGTCGTGACGAAGTTTTCCTAGGGCTTGAAATCCTATTGGGAATTTCTCCACGAGTCTTCACATAATAGCCCTCAACCGCTCGTACATAAGACGATGGTCCTAGGCCATAAATGCTAGACATCAGAAGAGAAAATGAAGTGTTTGGAATTTCTAAAATGGGTGGGTACCAATTCTAGTTTTCTAAGATAGTCAGATCCTAAGCTCTAAAAAGAAATGACCTAAAAAATGAGGTCAACAACCCCTTACCTCAAGGTCACTACCTTCTAGAGCAGCGACTGTTACCTCAGCTGGAACCTCTATCTCAGCGTTTATTTAAATTGACAGTGTCTCTTCCTTATTGGTTAACAATTGAGAATCCTCTCTGAAGTTTGTATCTTCGTCCAAATCACTGTTTATCTCTTCAATTGGAAGCTGACACTCTTCGTTTAGGTCCTCACCATTTTCAGCATTTGCGATATTTTTACCCAAATTTTCAATGACACTTTGCTCGGTCAAGCAAACCACTCACTTGATTGCGCATTATGCTTCACGATGTCCAAATATGTGGCACTTGTGACATTTTCTGGCTGTGACAGACCTGCAGATTGGTTTTGCTGGATAGTAGCCAGTGGGGTCTCTTGGTACTGTGGTCTCTACACTTCAGAAGCAGGAGCGGCAGTAAGTTGGAAGAAACTAACGCTGTGTTTCCCGCTTCATCTTCATACCTTCTCGTTCCCATCTTTGACCTTTAGGATCACCTTTGAGAGCAGCCTCTAATTGGATTTCATCTTCCATGTCCGTCATCCTCCGCCGATGTCGGTGGATCCCTCACCGTATCTTCTTCTGGGAAGGTTTGGGCACATATCTCAATGGTGACATGACTAGGGCTTAGAGTTGGGAGGTGAGAGAGGGCTAAAAATTGGTATGTTGGGGGGAGGGGAAAGTTACGTTGGAGGAGAGGGAAGTGGTCTAACGACAATAAATAGGGAAGGGGTCCAACGGGAAACTGCTGTAGACAAGAAAAGCGGTCTAGTGGCTGTAGGTGGGGTATACAAGATAGCAAGAGTGATGGGGAAAGCAGTTTACGACAGCATCGCTGGTAGGTGGAGGGGTTACGGGAATATGGGACAACAGGAGATGGGTAGAAGAAGTTGGAGCCCAACAGGAAGTTAGGGTTGGGGTTGTTGGGAAGGAGTAGTCTGGCGGAGACGGGTTGCAGGGCTGTAGTTTCAGGCTGTTCACAGCAAGATACGGTGACAGCTACTGCGAGAGGGAGGTTGCGAGGGAGGAGAAGTCGAGGATAATCACCACCTCGGAGCATGATACAATCGGAGCACCATCTCTCTTCGGATACAACCTTAGAAAGGGAAACAAAGGGGACAACGGCGGCTGCCCCAACAAAAATCTCACCGCTACTCAGCAAAAACTAAACCTTACGGCATAAAAACTCATAATATAAGAGGGATGGGAGGGAAGTGAAAACATGAAGGGGGGAAAATTCTGCC